GCGCAGTGCTGGTCTGTGTTGAGTCCACCTGGTCATGAGTCAGTTCATGCTACCTCTTGGTTACCTCCAAAATAATAGATGGATGTGGAAGATTTTGTCTGTATTGGCTGTGGATAAAGACACAGCTTTGCTTCTGCTGGTTGATGGTGTGTGTTTGTGGAGCAACTATCTTCTAGTGACTGCTAGACTAGGAACAACTGGAATTGCAAACTGGCTGATTTCTTATTTCATGGCTGTGGACTATTTTATGCAGCTTTGTACTGTGAAATATGGGAAACCAGGCTTAGCCAAAAGTGAGTTGCTTAGCAGACGCTTGCTGTCATACAAATTAGCCACAGCTTTTGTGTCTTGGAGCGATGCCAGCAGAGAGCTAGCTATTGCATTAAATGTCTACTACCAGTCATGATCTAAACTGAAAGCGAGAAGATTAATTGCTCTTCCAGCATTAGCGCTTTTTGTGACATTAAACATGTTTTTCGTCTTTAAACCCAAACCATAAAATGCTGCTCTTGAGTTTCAAATCAACGAGTGTATGGGAAGCACAGGAAAAGGTTTAATTTAGTGAGAGCAAGTATCATGCATATATAGGAACTATCTTGCTTTAAAATGGAAAGGGAAGCTCATTTTGTTAGTGCTACCCATCTGCTATGTAACAATGAATACCTTCAAAACCATGGTTTAAACAAATATAAGTCTTAAAGAGTGGATAAAAAATAGATTTGAGCTACTAGTGGATAGAAAGTAACAGCATTCAATAAGCATCTTCTTTGACATTACTCTGCCTCAACCAAGATTTGTAATACCTAATTGTACTAATGTAGTTTGACTAATGAAACACAGTGCTTTTTCCTTCTATAAAATATTTCTTTCTGAAATTTTCCTGAGTTGCAAAGTTCTTAAGAAGTAGCTCACTTGAACTTGAAGTAAACAAGTGGAATTTAGGAAACTCATACTTTAGTAAGTTCCTGGGGATATAAGGTTGCTCTCAGTCATTGGTGTCCGTTATGAATGAGGGATTTGATAGCGGAAAGGGTGTTTTGAACTCAGCTGGTAACCTTGACTGTTCCTGCCAATGCTGCTAACTTCTTTTTGTTCTGTTGTCTGTCATCTTTCTTCTTAGCCAAGCACAGTATCATCAAGGCTCTCATTTCTTGAATTACTAAATGATGGAGAGAAACACTAGATCAAATAAATGTTTATATATGTTTCTTTTAGAGGCTTAGCCTTCCTGGTTGAGGAGGAAAATATGAAATTTGACCCAGGGTCCCCAGAAGATGAATGAAAAATCCTGAGGAAAAAAAAAGGCTGTTTGTTTAATTTCAGGATTTTTCAGGGGAGGAGATATCAACATCTTGCAGGTAATTTTTAGCAGTTCTGATACTGGTAGTATTGTCCCTGTAGTGCAGCAGCACTTTTTGGAAGAGGAATATGAGAGCCACCATCAGCCACTGTTTACTGCTTGGCTGCTGTTGGGGTGCTTGTGAGTGCTTGCTGTGACCCGCAGATGACTGCTGACCCATCTCTCTGTCTGAGAACAGCTGCTCATGCACTGGTGTAGTTCTTTCTAGATGAGACACAGTGTTAGGTTCATTCTTAGTAGTACCTTATGGTGGTACTACAAGTGTTTCCCCATGCTTTTCTTGCAGCATTTACTCTTTGGTGTGTAGAGTTCAAAAAACCCCTTCCTTCCAATGACTACAGCGGTGATTTTCTGTTTCTCTTCTGCGAGGGAATCTGAAATGCAAAGACCAAATAGTAACGTGTACTTGCCTAGAAAAAATGTGCTGAGTTTGTAACTACTGGAGAAAATAATTTGGCACATAGTTATTTTTGTGTACCTCCCTAGTACCAAGAACAATTAGGCACCAGCTGAAGACAGTGACTGCCAAAAGCGCATTTGGATGAGGTGGGTGTTTCTGGGTGGTACAGTCATGTGTTAACAAGTGTGACCACATCACTAAAACAAAAGTATATTTGTATCCTCAAGCTCTTCGTAGGGATATACCATCCTCAAGGGGAGAGGACACCAATAAAGCACCTGGCAGGGAGGAAAGGCAAAGAAAGGAATACAGGATAATGAGGTGTGTTTAACTGCTTGCTGTTAGCTAAAACCATCCACCTGAACTCGATGTAAGTGTCCACAGCTGCTTCAGGAATCATTCTCTGTGAAAGCTGAAGCGGGAGTAGGTCAGCTGCTCCAAATCCAGATCTCTGGGTGTGAGAAGAAATCTAAACTGATGGGCGGGCAGCAAACAGCATCAGGGAGGGCAGCTGCAGCAGGGATAGGGATGCAGGAAGCTTTGTGCAAGCCATAGAGGAGATGTAAACTCTTTCCCTGAAATATGCACATTTAGTCTTCTAATGGAGATTAAGAAACCACACATTAATTTTTCTGTTTGTGGAGACTGAACTCTTACAGGGCACAGAGTTACTTGCAAAAAATCTTAGCTCCAGTGCATAAAATCTTCCTCCCTCATCCTCCTTGAATCCAGTGCTAAGCTCCAGTGGATGCCTGTTTACCTCATGGGGAGGGGAAAGCAGCATCCCACAGAAATCTGAACCTTTATGCATTTTGAAAGAGGAAATCAAGTTTTTCCTTCACGCATCACATGTATAGAAGAGATGAAATGATACTGTGTGGGGCTGTGTGATGAAGTGTTTGTCACGGTGGATTCTGTTAGAGAGCAAGTGATGAGTTGCAGTCAGACACCAACGAATGCTGGTCCACAAGCCGCAAGTGCTTTTAATAGGATAACTCCCCACTCGTTTGCTTAGATTTCGTGGAGTTGCGTCTTCCACCACTGGGGTGTTAAGGGTGAGCAGATACAGCTCAGTGAAAATGATACAAAAGAAACCACCCTGCATCTTGAGAAATGTTTAGCAGCTTAATTAGATTCAGAGTATAATACTGTTAACAGTGCATAAATGACAGCTATTTTCCGTTTATCTACATATTGTTCCATTCCTTGAGCTTTATCCGTTATTATTTTACTATGAGTATTTTAAGTATCTTTTCTCTTCAAACGCAAGCCCTATTTTTATTTCCAATTTGATTTCACAAGATATTGTCAAGCTTCTTACGTGTAAGAGGATAAACAATATACGCTACCCTCCAGTAGTCATAAAGGGAGAAGTAGGGGGAGAGGAAGCCCTGCCCCTGCGTATCCAGTGTTATGACTCAGTACTCAGGAAACAGTGGGGACAGAGGTCTTCAATTTTAAGTGTTTCGGTGGGGTTTTCTTTGCTGCCTTCTGCTAATCCTTTTAGGAAGGTGAATTCCACAGCTCTTTGTGGAGACAGTAGAGCACAGCTGATGTTTAAAGCAGTTTTTTTCTTTCAGCATAATACAGCCATACAGTCAGGGGGCTGCAGAGGCTGTGCTCTGACTGCAATGGTAGTGAAGTACGCTAGCTTGCACTGAGCATGAGCCAAATTCCATTCTGTTGCATCCTACTATCTTCAAAATTTAGCTGTGCCACTGCTGCGCTAGAGCTACATGGCATGGCAAGTGAGCTTTCCATTAGATTCCTGGCTGGGTTAAAATTCAACAGTAAAGCAAATGCACTGTTTCTAGTGCTTCTGAATAGATTCTCATTTGGACTTTGATGTGAAAGCAGAATACAGACAGAAACAAATTAGTTCAATATCTCAGATTTCAAATCTCCTCATCCTGCAAGAACCACCTCAGACAGCTGTTGTGTCAGCTGGTAGCTAGTGGGCAAAATACAAAAACTATTACACTCCAGAGCTTGTAATACATGGGAGTGAGAGGGGGACAAGAAAAATTACAGTGATGGCTTCTTTTCGGGTTTTCTTGTCTAATGCAAACCACTGAGAGTCTCCTGGAAGAACAACTGCAAAGACCGGTGACACCTTTCCCAAACTAAGGGTGTGCATAGTGCTCTCATGTCTCAGTTTCTTTTTGATATCCCTAAACTGCTGGCCCATGTGCCAAATCAGAGTGCCTTTACAGGAGGTTGCTGATGCGACTGACAACGAGGTTTGTGGTTCCTGTAAGTAAGCCTCAAGCCCTGAATCCTGCTAGACAGCATCGAATGGCTGGCAAAGAATTCAAAGATGGGGTCTTAGTGCCACAGCTTGAATCTGGTTGCCCAGAAAAGTGCACAACCTGTCCCCGGATTCAGGTGTGGCTCTTAGTGACTTATCTGCACTCAGGGGTAAATGCCCACTGCTCTGTTAGTACCTTTAGCTTATTGGCAAACTTGCACTGCTGGTTTTGAGTCAAGGGGTGTTCTTGCACTCCGTAGCACTATGGTTTGGTGTTTAGAGCATGTAAATGAAGATTGGCCAAGGGGCCATCATTGAGGCCTTAGAAGGCAGCCCACAAAGGGACCTGTTCATTGTTGTGATCTTTGGCTGAACTGGATGGCCAGGGCTGGCTGGAGTGCCCACCAGGTCCTTTTAGCTCTGCTGGGACTGGGGACATGGACTAGATGGTCTGGGGGAAGGAGGGGTTTAGAGGTGCCAGTCAGTGATCGTGCCACAGGATCCTCTGCCCAGGTGTGCACTGCAGACTGAGGTCACTCCCCCTGCTCCTACTGGAGAAGCTGCTGCACAGCCTATTCCAGAGCCCCACGCTGCCATGGTCGGCCTCTGCTTTCTCATGTGCCTGGAAAGAGGGTGCAGAGCCCTGGTGCTCAAGGCAGTCAAGAAAAAACTCAGGGAACATCAGGCTTCTGGGGGTGGAGGGCTGAACATGCTGAGCCGGAGCTGTCAGCCCAAGTGCTTCGTTAGGTAGCCCTCAACCGAATCTCACTAAGCCACCCAACATCATCAGTGCTCTGGGGGGCCCTGGCACAAACCACACTCAGCTAATCAACATAGCATGATGCTAGATATGGTTAAAGCTACTGCCCTTCACTGGAAATGTCTTGGTGCTATGCTGCAGGCTTGTGCCAAGTGAATAAAATCATGTCTTAATTCCAAGTTGTATTTTCTATCCTCTTATATGTGATTAGGGTTTAAAACCCATATGCTGTTTTACTTAAAATTTCATTGATGACTGAGAGTTACTTGCTTTTTAAAAAAAAAAAAAAAAAATTTCTTTGTCTACTTCAAGTGTATATTTCCTTCATATTTAAGGTAATACCTTACGCTTTAAGCTAGGCAGCTGTGCAAATCCCAGCTGGATCAGAGACACAATATGCTACCTCTTTTTTTCCAGAGCAAAGCTGATCCCATATGATCCATCTCTTTAAAACTTGGGCAATTTATGCTCCCAGTACGACTGATACAAAAAAGTCATAATGTAAATGCAGAGTCTTGGTGCTTTTCCTTAAATACAACAAATGTCATCTCAGTTATATAAATTTATACAGGTTAAAAAAACGATGAGTATGTTCTCCTGCTATGAACAAAAGCTCTTAAAGATATTGCCTACACCGCACAAGCTTCTGGAAGGCTTTCTTGAAATCTTCATTAAAGATTGTGTATATTAGAGGGTTAATGAGGGAATTTATATATCCCAACCATGCTAGGAAATTAGACATGTCTTCTGAGATGTGACATCTTTCACAGGTATTAACAACTACTTCTTTTACAAAAAAAGGGAGCCAGCAGATCACAAATGCCCCCAAAATCAGACCCAGAGTGGTTGCTGCCTTTCTTTCTCTTGTGCTGGAGATTCTCTGTTTTTTCCAGGACTTCTCGTGCTTAGATTCAGACCTGGGACTCCGTAGAGTGATATTTATTTTATCACAGTCCACCAGGGGATCTGATGTCTTCTCCACTGTGCTGGGCATTGAAGCCGATTTGGTGCTCCTTTCACCTGCGTCCAGAAGGACTTGTCCATTTACCTCCTCCCTTACGATCCGGCTGACGCTTCTTCTGTGAAATGTCTTTGCTGCCTTGTATATCTTGTAATAAAGGATCAGAATCAAGGCCAGTGGGATATAGAAGGCTCCAAATGTAGAGTAAATGGTGAAAACAATGTGGTCGTGTTTGATGATGCATTCGTCATCTCTGCTGGTCGTCTGGTGCCGCCAAAACAAAGGCGGCATGGAGATAAAGATGGATATGATCCATACCACTGCAATCATGATGCCAGCATGCTTAGGTGTCCTTTTCCTTGCATATTCCACAGCGTCTGTGATTGCTCTGTACCGGTCCAAAGCAATGGCCGAGAGATGCAAGATGGAACATGTGCAGCATGTAATGTCCACGCTCAGCCAAATGTCACACACCACTTGCCCCATGATCCAAGTCTCCTTGACAATGTAGACAATGCTGAAAGGCATCACTAGGACTGCCACAAGGAAATCAGTCACTGCAAGAGAGCAGATTAAGTAGTTGGCAGGGTGGTGGAGCTTCCTTGTCACAATTATTGCAGTCATCACAAGAGAATTGATGGCTGTTGTCATTAGTGCAAGCACAGATAAGGTAATGGAAATGAGAATCTTGGATGTCACCCATTTGAACAGTTCTTCTGATGTACTGTTTTGTTCAGTGGAGTTTATTAAATCCATGTTCACTTTTAAAGGTGATCTTTACCCGTAGCAGTTACCTGTCGGAAAAGTAAAAAACAATCAGAAAGTGCATCCTCAGTCTCTAGAGAGTCTTGATTTTCGTTGTCTTTGAAGACTATGGGCCCCAAACTTACGAGAAACTCGGATGTATCATTAGAAGTGATTCTGACTCTAGACAGAGATTGTCCTGGCTGGCACTATATTGGATGCTCTGCCTCCAGAAGAGAGGCCTCCTCTTTCTCCTTCGTCATGCTGCTGGGAAGGGTCTGTTTGCATGGCAGGGGAGAGGAGTGTGCTGCGGTCCCTGAGATGGCACTGCCCTGTGGGGTGCTGCTTGTCGCTGCATGGGGGAACCAGCCCTGTTCCTCAAGCAGGGAAGTGGCATCATTGTGGCCCCTGGGCTGCAGAGCCAGCCCTCCTGCTAAATGCTTACTCTGACTGGATTGTAGTGGAGTTTTGAAACTGGTTAAATGTGGACAGTCTTGTCCTAAAGGACGTACTAATAACTGCTTTTAGGCTATCCCTGTCTACTCTGCTAAGCAATGCAATGACTGTTGAAAACTTTAATCCATAGGAAGCAGGCATAATTCTTCTTTTCTCTGTATAAACTCCTTTTTCCATGTAAGCATGTGGGTCTTTACTTGTGTTTAGGTAACTATGGGCTTTTTAAACTGGGACATAGTTTTCAAGAGAAAACAGAAACATGAAACACTGCAGTACGAACAGAAGAAACAATTGCATGTTGAAAGTTTCATTTTAGGGCTTCCTCTTATGCAGCTCTAAAATGAAACAGCTGAATATATTTTAAAACTTCAAATGGTTGACTTATTGTCTGAATGAAATATTACGCATAGATTAGAGTCTTGAGAGTATCATTACTTTTCATCAAGCTTTGCTATTCTGTGGTTGCTGCCAGAGAAACTGCAAAAAACTTGGATGCTAGTTGTTCTGCTAATGACTCTGTACTGTTTTCTACAGAAACAATGTAACTCCTCTTACGTCTCTGCAGGAAGTAAAAAGCAGGCAAATACTGATAAAAAAGTGTTTAGTTATGTTCTGGGGATGTGCACCCCCAGATTTCTTACCAAGAAGGGTTTCTGAGAACTCTGTGGACTGCAGCTGAACTAGGTGTTTATAGCTTTTTAGAGTAGAGCTTAAAACTCACAGTAAGAAGGTGAGATTTTATCCTGTTGTGGGTTTTGACGTGCGATTTCTTGTGTGTGCAAGATCTACCTGATGAACACCTAAGTGGGATTTTCTCTGACAAATTTTGGAGTGTAGTGAGTGGGTTGCACTTGTGTTGGATTGGATGCCACATGTAGGGAAATATGCAAAATAAGTGAATAATTTTTCTTAGGAAAAATGGTTCTCATTAACATAATTAAAGCTTTTTAGTATTGTGCTTAAAAAGAGTATAACATATTGTAGATAACCTTGGACCCAGCTTACTAATTTAGTTTGATATTCTAACCTGGGCAATGCTTAATATGCTTAATATGCTATTGACCTACTCAAAAAGTTTCTTAAAATTTCTTGACCAACTTTTATTTGTATGGAAGAACAAGGAGAGGAAATGTATTTTGTGTGGTGATATTTACAAACACTGAGCAAAATCTTGTCCTGTACATGAGCTGATTAGAGCATGAGTGTGCTCTCTTTCTCTCTGTGTCCCTCTCTCTGAACTGGAAATATACTTCACACGCATAAAAGTAGATTTTTCCTCATCTCAGTGTTACCTTAAAACCTTCTGAATCCACAGTCATTGCTAGTTTGTAGATATTTTTGTCTGTAGCTAGCTGCCTTTCAGAGAAGGAATAGGCACATACAGTATTTTCTGGTGAATGCTCAGCCTCTGCTAAATAAATGTTCATTTTCGAGCTTGTATAAATGCATGGAAAAAAAAAAGTTGGCTGGGAAAAAATAAGACTTCTGTTGGTATCCAGCAGCTGATCATATTTTAGAACGGTTACTCATTATGGTTAATTACCTTATAAATTTCTAAGTCTTTGGATATTAGTCCTTAATTGCAAGCGAGAAAAAAGCAATTTAGAGATAATGAAAGCTGATTAATAGCTTTTGAAAGATTATTCAGTTTGAGACCATTGAGTAAGGAATATAGTATGGGTGGGTTTGCAAAACTGGTGTGTAGGAATAACTAGTTTTCCTTAGTGCTGCAGTGCTTTGGAAGCTCTTTATAAGGACAGTAACAGAAATGAATGTGCTCACTTGCCATGAGCAGTAATGATGCTTCTCTGTGTGCTTTTCAGATTTATCGGCTGGTACGCTCAGATTTCATTCAGGCTGCTGGCATGGAAATAAAGCAGTATCAAAGACTGCCACACCAAGTTTTTCATGTGCTACTGTTAGATAATTGTGCTGGGGTCTCCTGTTCTTGAGACATAACCTGTTTAATGGTACCCATTTGGACATATGCCCTCCTGTTTCTACATGGAGTGTTAAGACCCTTTGCTGTTGCCCTCACAGCCCCGGCAGCAGGTGTCCAGGGTGGTGCCCAAAGGCTGCTGTGCAGACCAAAGAGAGGGGCTTCATCCAAGGGAGACAGCAGCATGGTGACAAGATCTGCCCTCCAAGGTAGTGGCTCCCTGTTAAGAGCCATTCAGTGGGCTGTGCTGCCAGTCACACACAAAGTTTGGTGGATTTTCTGTCCAAGTGGGATGCAGGTCCTCTGCTAACTGTGGTGGGAATTTGCACAAGGTTATTGGGTGATCATTAGCTAAATGTGGAGTTGAAACACTGGCAGCATTTAAGTACTGCTGCTTCTCTCTCTTTTGATCACTTCCAGGATGAACTTATTCTGGATTTTCTCTTGCTAAATTGAACTCAGTTCAATCAGTGGCCATTGCTGTCTTCTGTCCTCGGCAAGCAACTGAACCACTTTTAGGAGTATGAAGGATGATTCTATAATCAGTGCACCGGAGTAGGATGCAGGAGAACTGGCTTCTGCCCCTCTGCTGTAGGCTTTCCTTGTCAATTTTTGAGCAAATTCATTAAAGTGCTTCAATTAATTATCTATAAAATAGGTACAAGAGTGCTCCCCTGCTATCCTGCTTCAAATATTTGTATTGCCTTCTCTTAGTAGCACGAAGTATCTCTTGTATACATTTAATGCAGGGAAGAACTAATCCCTGGTGATACCCCAGTTGCTGTGGACATGTTGGTGTAACTACACGCTGTACTTCCAGCTCAGACTTTGCTGTTATTCCCATATGAGTCTACCAAGCTCTTGCCTCACAGAGCAGGCACGGTCCCTCTGCTTTGTGATGTGGGCATCTCCTTATGGCCACATACCTGACATAAGACTTCAAAATGAAGCATGGAAGACTTGGAGCTGTCTTCTCTGAGCACTGAATTTACTTTGATGAATGAAAACAGTCTTGCAGCCATGCTGAACTGGAGAGAAATCTGTATTTCAACAATTATAGAATGGGTTCAGCAGTGACATGTAACTATTTTAAAATAAATTATTACAGGCTACCTTTGTGGATCTGGCAACTCAGTGCCCCTTTTGAAGCTAAATCTACCAGTTTATCATTTATATCTCAAATTCCATAGAAGTTGCTGCAGTTGGAAGGATTGTCCTTTATTATTACCTTTTCAATATACAACTGTTGTTGGAAAACTTTGGAAAGACTTGAAACTTCAATTATGTAATATTGTCCTGATTTTAAGATTGGTGAAAATAATGTCTTGTACTTTTCTTCATTATGCATCTTAACACAGTAAATTAATCTATAATTGCTATTAAAATACAAGTATGGTATTTCAGTTGACCCATTAAAATATTAGCCTTTGATTGCTGAACAAGAGCCCTGTAAACAAAGGAAACTGCTGTTCACTTAAGATAACATGTCTGTTCTCTTGGATACATGAACATTAGTTTTGAGGAATTAGCCACTTTGACAAGTCTCTTTTCCTCCCCTCCCAGATATGGCATGTTAAGGTGACCAGAACGTAAGTACTTCCTTGTCTGTGGAAGCACATATATCATCCTACTCATCTTGTTTAGCAGGCATGGGGGAAAATCTCTGTTGCAGACTTATCACAAAAGTAAACATTGAATTTTTCTAGTGACACCTCAAAGAAAAGGCAACGTTGTTGGTGCTCTCAGTTCTGCAAGAGTATGTGTATATGTTAGTAAGCCCATAACCACCCATTTATGTCTGAGATTTACAAAATAGTAATAAGATTGATGTTTAATAGCATTAGTCTGTCCTTCCGGGTTTGGAAGACAGCATTTTTCTGCCTTTGAGTTAACCTAGAAAATAATATGTAACACGGGTTGCTGGAGAAACATGGCTGGGAATGCCTTTGGAAAGGCTATCATGAGCCTACTCTTCGGGGTCATGAATTTAGACTAAACTGCTAGAAGTTCAGCTCTTGATTTTTGGACTTGGTTTGTTTGATATTGCTTTAAGCACTGGCAGTGAGAAAACTTGCTGATTAGAATTTAAGTGCTACTTTTGAATACAAGTTTTCTGAGTGTACCTGGGGTGTGTGTGTGTCTGTTTGCCTGCTTTTTTTCCACATAGGTTCCATAGGAAAATGTGCCTTTAGTTTAAAAGCAGTAACAGTACTCAGAAAGCAAATTGAGCAACTGACTGAACTAAGGGTATTTAAATTACTACAGACAGCAGTAACAGCCTTCCTGCATTAAGTAAATGCAAAGTTGTGCCAGTGGCACAGGTAGATCCTGCCCATCTCTCTCACTCAAACAGGCTGCAGCTGGCTTTGAAATGATGAAGTGTTTCACCTGCTAGCAGAATCCCTTGCTTTATTGGCCAAACTGATCTATAAGCCAGTTACGAAGGCTTAGCTTGCTTGCTTGCTTGCTATAGTGGAAATGGATCCTACAAACTTCTTTTCCTGATGAAAGGGAAGACTATACTTGTTTTCAGCTCTCTTGTTTTTATCACCTGTTCCTGTATAGGCTAACCAGATACTGGAGGTAAGACTAAAATAACTATAGAATGATAAAGTAGTTTTAAATACAAGCCTTATTTGGGAGCTCAAGTTTTCTGAAACAAGTATTTATGAGCTTGTAAAAATCCTCCCTGATATGGCTGTGTGTCTGTAGATACCAACCATATGATACGTTAATGACAATTAGCTTAGTAATGATCCATCATATTTAAATATGAGTAGAGGGAAATAATTCTCCTTCGGATTAAACAAATCTGTTTAAGAAGGGTGAGATTGTACTTGGATCTGACAGGGGTTATGTAGTTTGTTAAGCCTGAACCCTAGAGTCCCAACTGAAGAGGAGAGGAGTGCTTTCACTTGATTTTTAGTGTCCTGTCCTTAAATTCTTTCCCTTAACGATTCTAAGGTTCCTAAAGCTACAGCGCATCCCCTGGGATAAGGCAGGGGTGACTGGCAGGTTTGTAAGAGAAGTTACTTGCCAGCTGAAGGCAGCTGATGTAAACCTGCCTTTCCTGGAATACAAAGTAGATGTCTATCAGTAGTTTGAAGTGTGAAGCAGAAATCACAAGGTTGCCAGCTTTCCATACTCAGTCTGCATTTCTGCATGCTTAAAACTACCTTTTCTTCTTTCTCTTTCTCTTTTTTTTTTCTCTCTCCCACCCCGTATCTGCTACTTAACTAGGAGGTAGAGTTATTAATCTGTCAGCAAATATTTGTATGTTGAAGTAATGCTTTGGCTTCCCTGATTTGGGTGTTACTGGCTCAGTCCGTGGGACTGAGCACATTCTGGACTGAAAAGCATTGGTAAACTGGAGGAATGTCTCAAAAGCTGTTTAGGTTTTGCTGCTTGAGTCTCCATTAACCGGAGTTACCACTTCCACTTGTAGAAGGTCACGACAGACCCATTTCTAGAAACACAGACCACAAATAACTGCAAGATCACAGGTAAATCAATTGAACTAATATCAACTAAAGATAATACAGAATTCTGCCTCCCAAGCGCCCCTCAGGAGAAGCATGGGTGAATAGCTAGGCTTTGCAGCCTGCCCTGAATATCAGTATAACATATGAAGGAAACAAATTGGAGAGTCCTAGAGAACGGGTCCCTCCAGCTTAGATATGCACAAATCCATTTATTGCCTGGGTGCCATTTCCGTGCCTTGAACGCAAGCCACAGGAGTTGTGTGGTAAACCTGCATTTGATGCTTTTCTTAGCCGTGTAACAGCCTAAGAGTCCCTGTGTTGGCAAAAATGATATGCTGCAGTATGTTTTGTGTCAGGCACAACAAAGATGATGCTTGCTTTAATTTTCCGGATGGCTCTTTAAATTCTTTCAGCCAACAGGAAATAATCCCAAATGGCTAAAATGACAAAGTCTGACAGACTTAGCCCTGAAAGTTACCGCCCCATATGTCTGCTCTATCGTGTTATTGCTCCTGGAGCAAAATCAACAGGAGGGAGGTAGTGCTTCCACTGAAGGAGCTGAAAGACAAAGTTTAAGGGCTTGTTTAAACTGCCAGAGAAGGTGAACTTGCCCTCTGCCACTGGATGCTGGCAAGACAGATGCAAGCACCAGCTCTGTCAGGACCAAAACAAAGGCAGTAATCCCTGGCAAAGGGGCAGAGTGAAGCACTGAAATAGCTTCTGTCCTCATCTCCCTGGAGTAATTAACTCACCTTCGTGTTTCCCACTGAGGCCGTATATATTGCAGCGTGCTGGCTGTGACTCCTTTGACACATCTCCCCCTGGGAGGCTTTGTTCCTTGTTTCATTACTTCATGAGCGTTACCAGGTGCTCCGTGTTTTCCAGTCTGTAAAATACCAGACTTTTCAAGCCCAAACCTGACAGCCCCACATCATGGGGGTTCCGGTGCCTCTGTCACAGGGGAGCAGCTCCTTGCCTCCTGCATTTCAGAGGTGTCACTGCAGTTCCTGGGGAGGTACCGCTTGAGCTAGATTTAACCTCAGCCAGGTAACCATGAGCAGAGCGCTCAGCAAAACCTGCCTGGAAGCAGTGTTGCTACATAGGTGGGATTAATCTGTGATGCGCTCCTTGATGCCCTTGCTGTGTTCTCTACTGGCATCCCTTGGACTGCGGTGTCGTCCTGTGGTGCTTGGCAAGCCTGCCTGGAAGATACCTCCCCTGCTTATTGTCATCATATTATGGCACCTGCTGCATTTGCTTATATGGAAGAATGTTGTTCAGAAAGTAATTATGCATTCCTTGCTGCTTCTAGTGTTGAAGTTGAGGGTTTGGTTTTTTGTCTCCTTTTGGAAAATTAGTCACTCATCTGTGTTTGCTCTTTATTTTATGTCCCTCTGCCATCTGTTTCAATCTAGCTGAGGGGGATGGGAGGGAGGCAAGCCAGTTTCTAAGCCAGCCCTCTGGGAGGCGGGGAAGAGGAGCAGCAAGAACAGCATGGTCTGTGGGATGATGGACTTGCTTATATAAAACCATGAGTATGCCTCCCAAATGCAGCTTCAGTTGCTGAATGACTGGAAAGTTGAACCTGTTATGAATTTGATCGGTTTGGGTGGAGAAAGGGAAAATTTCAGACCCATATTCATAATTCTCCAGAGGAGGTGGCAGTGATTTATTTCTATAATTCACTAAATGAGGGAATTCAGTTTCCTCTCTTATTTGAGGCTGGTCTGAATCCCTAGTCCAGAGTTGCCAGGATAGTGGTCTGGATAGTTGCCTTTTACATTGTATATGGTGTGGAAGAGCCCCAGAGGACCGGGTCCTGGACAATAGTGCTTGTGGGAGCTGCTTCCTGCCATCTCTTCTGCTACTGCTGTTCTGAGCGCTGTGAATAAATATCTCTGAGAAATTAAGTAGTGCCTGGGCACCCTGTTGCCTTGTGTGAGCTCTGCAATGAGCTCTTCATGATAGCAAGCATTCTGTACAGACAGACAAAGTCCTAAGTAACCATGTGGTCAACACCCTGTCCTTATAGGCATGTATCCCTTTGGATGGGTGGTTGTGATCTGAACTTGGACTCTCTGTATCATGAGCGTATCACTCATTTCATATCCCTGCCCTTTGGCATCCATCCTTAATTTAGTTTGCATCTAACAGTCTGAAAAGTTCCATTCAACCAAAAGCTTTCTGTATTAGGAAAAGAGTTTAAAAATTTTATTTTAGTTCTGTTGAAGAAAAGCAAGGGTTTTGTTTGTTTGTTTTTGTTTCAAGTTCTTCTTTGGATTGGCGGTGAATCAAAGTGACTATTCATCCATCTTTATCTATAATTTATACAACTAGTTTCCCACTGGGCAGGAGTGACTTGCTTTCATGATTATCAACTAAATTTGTACAGCAAGGGGAAATGCGGAGTGGCTTTGCTTGTGTTTCAAAACGCTGCCTTCCAGATTAAGGGTTTGAAGGCTGTAGGAATCACAAAGCAGCATTTGAGCAAGAAGATTGGAGGTAACTTTGCTTCCTTTGGATGGTAATAAAATGCAGCCTTGCTTCTCTCACTTCCCATTCATCCTTATGCTTTAGGGCCATGTGTTCTTTGCCAGCCCTCTGAAAACACATGCATGTGCAATTATAAGTCACAAACCTTTTTCACAGACACACCTACCACTGAAGCTCTATTACAAGGAGGAGTTCAACTTTAAACAAAAATAAATAAAAATTATCAAGTTAATAGACATTTTGGTGGAATAGCTCCTGTAGTACCTGACTTCTAAAATAATGTGGGCACCTTATATCTTAGTTTCCTGAGAATTTTGTCAAATGTGGGTTTCATTATGTAATAACTGTGAAAGCTTTTATTCAGCTGGAAGAAACTATCTTCTTTACTCCTGGACAGTAACAATAACAACAACAAAAAAATCAATATCTTCAAATATGTGTTTGGATAAGATCTCTATATTTTCTTATACTGTAAATTGAAATAATTTTCAAACTATCACCTGGGCCAACAGTAGGATATTTACTTTTCTGCTGTGTGCTCACCAGGACAGCTTTGAGTGAGAGCTGGTCTCAGAAGAGTTTGTTGGAGGAGGAGTGAAGGTGATGCATCAGTACGTTCTTCCTCTGCAGCAGGGGTTCTGTGTGACACAAGAACAGCGCAAGTCTGGGATTATCACTTACAACTTGGACACATGGCAGAATTCACATAATCCGCCATCTCATCTATGCCTAGGTTTTAGAGACTGATGCTTTTTGACAAAGACTATCTTACTGCATGCTTCCCAGTGTCTTGTGCTATACTTCTCTTCACCATGTTATTCGAGTCCTCATCTGGTTGTGTCATAGACTGAAAGTTTTTCCCTAGGTCTTGTTATCCATATGTGATGGAATAACCCTATGAGACAGTAAAATCTGCATTGTGTCTGCACTAAACAGCAGTTCTCTAATATTTTCTTTATCAGGACTGAGACAATTCAGACTGTTTCCTTTGAATGATGTGCGTGTAGCCCTGGTCAAGAAGTATTTTAAGCAAAACAAAGAAAACAGTCCTTAAAGTTGATGGGTTTGGAAGAGGGAGGAAAATTAAGTCTCCTTCCAGTCTCCTTGGGAAAGACACAGAGGAAAGGATCTACATACTGCCAGAAAACCAGGCAGAACTTGTTTAGAAAGCTTTATCGAAGTGATGCATCCGTGGGAAAGGATTTTCTTGTGGAGGAATGTTTGTGTTTTCCTTCAGACAATGCTTTTTCTGGAGGGTGCTGGGCAGCCTTGCCCTCATTCACTTCCACCAGTGAAGAATGGCAGCTCTAGGGAGAGAACCCGTAAAGGATGGGGGAAAGGCAAGTGCAAGCTCCTGCAGTTTGCCTGGGTGGCAAAGGGACCTGGGCCCTGCTTTGTCCAGAGGGCTGCCACCACCTCATGGAGAAGAACATGCCATAGAGGAATGGCACAACAGACCCTGTCCTGTCTGAAATGCTGGCAAGCTGCAGACCCTCGGGAAGCAATGAGCATGGGCTGTAAGGAGGGTGGCCTTGTGAAGGTCTGTCTTGCACAGAGCCTTTCTTGAAACTGCTACGCAAAAGCTTAGCATGGAGAGAGTGAACTTTGAGAGCACAGGTGGAGCTCAAGCTGGGGAAATCTTACTGAGTGAATCTGAGATACTTGCACAAGAAGGTCCTGTACTGAAGCTGTTAGTTAAAATCTCAACCTGGGAAGCTGCCCGGGAGTTTTCATTTCAGAAGCAGTAACTCAACTGTCCTCGGGTCAGGCTGGCTCAGGTCACTGTGGTTGGACTGACTCACAGTGGACTCGAAACCACACCCTGTGGTACTCTGTCAACCTGTACCAAGCTATTAGCCTCCTTCATAGGTAAATGGAGACTCCAGTTGGTAGAGTTCATATAGGGAAGGGACAGAGAGGTATAATTATACAGTTGAGACTGGTGCTTCCTAACTGGCCCTGTGATGTTTTTCAGATGTTTCTACTAAGATTTATTTATTCACCACTGTGTGCCCTTCGGCTGGGGGCTATCTTTCCAAAATGCAGATTCTGTGCCTTCAAACTTAAAAGGACATGACTTTAGCTATGTTCTGCATGGGATGCTGCTGTGCTGGTAATACAAAAGCTAGAGCCATTCTTGCATGTGCTTTCTCCTGAGGCAGAGCATTACTGTGGGCAGGCAACTGCTCAGACTCTCCATGAGCACCACAGGAAACTTTTGTCTAGGGGGTGTATCTTTCAAAGGGAGAGGGTACCAGGTACCTAGGGAGTCCTCATTCGCTGCTTTCATGTGCTTTTCCAGTTGTGTGGGGTTTGTTTGTTTGTTTATTTATATATTTAAAAAGGCTTTAAATCCTAGCATTGACACAATTGAATGTTTTAGTCAGGAGAGTTTAGTTCACTCAGTGAATTGGCATAAGTGCTAAGCGTTTGTGCCAGGCCTGTATAAACCATCTACATCTGAGATCTGGGATGCAGCTATGCTGGCAAAACTCATCTGGTGCAGATTGGGCTTTAGCTTTTCTCCTTTTCACAGTTTCAAAACACTCTGCAGCTCCTGAGCGTTCCTTTCTCTCTGTCCAGTTTACTATTGCATTGCAGCATGGGTCCCTTTAAAAGTACCAGTATTTGGAAAAATAAGTCCCAGGACAGCCTGCATAAAATCAGGTGTGTGGTGAGGAGAGCTGTGGAGGTAGGGGAGAGAGCATCAGATGGGAAAGCTGGGAGAGAACCTGAGGAAGCGGAGAGCCCAGGCAGGAGGGGTGCTGGGGTACCCCCTGCACAGGGCTCTCATGTGCCTATATCCCTCGCTGCTGCCGAGCGGCATCGAACGTATATGGACACAGTAATGTCTTTGAAGAACAACGATGCCAAATAGCACGTCCGTGTGGTGTGGTGGAGGTCAGCGTTTGGGATTTCTGAGCAAGCTGGCACATTTGCTTGGCTCTGGGCAGGCTGCTGTGGTGAGACTGGGAGGGAGGTGAGCTGTGAGCTGGAGTAGCTGCCGGTGGGTCCGGACTGGCAGCTGGTCTGGACATGACTCGTGTACAGCCAGGACAGGGATCTCAACACCACATTTTGGCAGAGAACAGCGGTGTCTGTGGTCAGCTGGCATCACAGCTTGCTGAATAATTCCTGGAAATGTTTGGCCTTGGCTATATTTTTAGGGGTGCACCACTTTCAAGTAAGCTTGTAGCAGCGGGACAGTGTTAAAATGTGTCCAAACACAGAAACAAGGATTTATCTTCCCTAGGAAGCTTCCTGCATCTGTCAGGTCTTCTGTTGCAGACACTGTGATTACTAAATAAGGTCTTAAGCTCTAACACTTTGTGAAATCATTTTTGTTTCTGAGTAGGAAAATAACAGACTGTCACACACAACTTTTTTCCTCTGCATAATTCCGATGTAGTTGTGACACTTGACGTACAGCACAGATGACTGTGAATGGCTTCTTAAAATTTAAGCAGATGATTCAGAATTAATTATGAAAAATAACCTTATTGTTGTCCCAGGAGTTCAGTACAGACAGCAATTGTCTAACAAGATCATCCAGCTTCAACTGATCCCCCAAACTCCTTATTGATAAAGCAGCTAAAGAATCTTAAATAATAAGCCTAACAAACTATTTTCTAACAAAATTTCAAAGGTTTTTTTACTGTTATTGATTTTTTTTTCTCTTGAGAATCGATTGATGTTGGCTTTCTAAGCTCTTTTAAAACATAACAGTGATTTTTGGAAGCCTTCAGCTCTGTAGACAAGTTTAGATACTACTTTATCCTACGGATGCTTTAGACAGCACTTCAGCTCTTTGCTTCCTGTGTAAGAAATATGAATGCAGTTTCTAAAAGATAGCTTTGTTCAACCCTCTTTTGATTTAGATTATAATACTAACATAAAGAAGCAATAATTCTAGCAGCTGTTTTCTCCTTAAGTTGTATGCTGAGAAAATGAAAATTATCTTTTGTATGGTAAGAACCTTTCTTTGTAATCTTGGTGTGTACTTGCAATATATTTCAAATTATTTCATAAGAACTGTTTAAAAAAAAGTGTTTGACAGTACTTGCACGTGGCAACACGTAATATTAAATTAGTGGTGAGGAGAAGCATTGAACTGACGGTACCTAATTGCCCAAATCTGCAGAAGGCATGTCAATACTCTGACCTGCTTTAAGAGAGTTTAAAAACCTCCAGTGGATTCTCCACAATCGTAGGCTGTCTATGGCCCCTGTAGTTCCTGAGAGAGATAAAGATTATAAGATGTGCTTTCACATAATAGCATGGTGAAAAGCAGAAGTAAAGGACAGAGGCAAATGGTTAGTGCACTGATCTTCAGAGACTGGAAGAGGCCTGGAAAAATCAAAAGCGAGCCATGGCTTCTTTGCTATGCATGGGAGCAGCATTGTGATTAGCACTTTGGAAACACCAAATTCCTTTCCCTGGGTTGCTGACTGCCCAACTCTGACACTGGGAAGCTGGGGAATTTAACTATGGAGTATAGCATGAGAAACTATTTTTCTACCAGGAGACTGGAAAAAAAAACAAATTATGTCTTTGAAGCTCTCTGCTAAAATGCCTTTTCAGTTTTACCATTTGAAGCTGCTGAAATTTATGGAAAAAGCCTTTTAACACTTTGACTGCAATATACTGTTGACAAGTAATGAGAAATATAGGGTCTCACGTTGTATGCTCTCATATAGGTATGCATGTCTATATTGAATTATATTTTTTTTTTCCCCATCACTTCTATGTTTTCTATTTTAAGAAGTCATTACTGAAAACTAGGTTTCCTTAGTGTTCAAAATGAGTCTTTGCTCTTTGAAGCTGAAGAACATTTTAATGTTAACTCTTCTGGAAAGGAGCAATGAACAGATTCAGGCAAGTCTCCACATCTGTATAGACACTTGTTTCTTTTTCTGATTTTTCCCATTTTTAGTCCCTAAATGATGACATTACATTCTGGGATTCTTTTACCTCTTTGTTTCTTGATTCAAAATCTTTAGGATGTAGCTCGGTCATGTATATCAAACATTTCCCCCTCATAGTCCCAGGGTTTAGAGGCTTTCTTTAAAAGACACAGATCTATCTACAGGTAGTTATATACACATACATAAAGAAGGTGCTCTTCTGATCAGTTGACTTGAGTATCTACAGCTTCAAGTAAAGCTAGCAGGCCTGAGGAGAAATAGCCAAATCACTAGCTGATGACACTGATTTTACGTGGGCTGTCCAGCTACATATCAGCAACTTTGTGATATAATATGTAGTGTAGAAAATCCTAAAGAAGACCATCAGGGCTCAGCCCACTGCAGAATGTAAGGAGTGTTCCAAGTATATAAGTCCTGTGGTACATGGGCTCCCTCTCCAAGTGCTCGAAGATTCAAGCCCTGAAGATTGTGTTGTGGTTCCTTTGGAGCATACACTTTAAACAAACAAAGCAAAACAAAAACCCAACCACCAAAACCCCCAAATAAAACAAAAAACACCACAAAAAATACAATCCAGGAGGGAGTATGTGAGCAGGCAGTGGTATCTCAGGTAAGGGGGCCACTGAAACCTCTTCCAGTCTGACGTGGCTGGGAGCTACTGTAACTTTTTTTTTGCTTATTTATACAACTAGAGTATGCAGCCAGCATAAAAA